GAAAGGAAACGGTAGTTGGGTAATGGGACTGTGGAATGAAAAAAGCAAGAGAAGAAGAGTGGGATCCAGGCAGATGAGGATAGCGATAGTAAAACTAATAATCACCATTTACTCGGTGCTGACTATGTGCAGGGCACTTTGCATGTGGTGTCTCATGATCCTCCATTTAAGAAAGGAAATAGTATCCCTAGGGTCCAGAGAAGCAAAGTGGAGCTCAGGAACCAGAGTGTGAGAGAGCTGATTTTAATTGTCCATGCCTTCCATTAAACCCTGCTGCTTCCCTTAGTATATAGAACACATTGGATTCTTGTGAGAAGAGTAAGGCTAAGATTATTATAGTCTCTTTGAATGAACTTCTTGTTCCTGATCTTACTGCTGTTTTGTAGTAAGAGTGTGCTACTATACATACATACACATATACATATATGTATGTGTTACACCTATACATACATATACACAAATATACTTGTATATGATGATATTTTAATTTTATCTACGTCTACATCTCCGAAGCAGGATTCTTAGTGGTGATTCAGGCTGTATGTGCTCTCATGCCTGTCTGCTTTTGTCAGTGGGAATCAGCTGGATGCCAGGCCTGGACACTCTTGAGCAGGGCTCTGCAGATGTTTCTGTAAAGAGCTAAACAGTAAATATTTCTGGCTTTGTAGGCCATATGTTCTCTTGCTGCAACTACTCAGCTCTGCTGTTACAGCAGGAAAGCAGCTATAAACAATACATAAATGAGTGGGTGTGGCAGTATTCCAATTAAATTTTATTTACAAAAAGGGCAGTGGTCCATATTTGGTCCATGGGCTGTTGTTTGCTGACCTCTGCTCCAAGTCTACTCCATGATGAAATGTCATGATCACATCCATGTACCCACAAACAAAGGCTCCCGCTGTACTTAGGGAACTCCCAGAGGCTGTCTGGGTGGAGCAGAACAAATCTGATGGCAACACTTGGAACTCCAGGAAGAGTCAAGCGATAATAAGATGGAATTCTCTGGCACACAACTCTTCTCTTATCCCAGTCTGACTGCAAAGAGAAGCTAGACAGTGTTGGTGTTGGCCAGGGAACTTTTCATAAAGAGAGTTATAGTATTGCATTGGACTTTTTGAATCATCCTTGTCTTCCCACAGTCTGGTGGGACTGGTAAAAAACCAAAGCGAGGTTGGATTTTTGGGTTATTATATGTTAGATAGAGAAGTGTGTGAGTTTTAAAGAAAAAAAAAATTAAGTTAGATTTAGTTTTCATTTTAATAGTTTCATAATTTTACAAAAAGACATGATGGTTGGCCAAGTAGTGATTTTTCTAGTCATGACAACTTCCCTTTTGATGACCTTTTATCTTAGTTTCATCAAGGGAAGTAACTGGTTGGCTGAATTTAAATCGGCACCCACTGACATGAATTGACTGCTCAAGAATCTGGGGCCCAGAGAATAGACGGGTTCTGACTAACACTGCCCGAAGCATGGAGGTTAAATGGATTCACTTTGCATACAGCATACCATTCACAGAAATCATGGTGAATCTTAGTTTGCTTCTAGTTTGGACCAGGACTTTCTTATATAGTTTTTGTTCGTTTGTTTTCTTCCTGAAGTTTCTAATTGTCTTTCTGGTTTTGTGTTGATAAAAAGATAATGTGCCTTCATCTTACAATTCAGTCACTCCAGCTTCCATTTTAAGTACATTTTCTATTTCTTTTTCTGAATATGAATACATTCCCAAGGGGCAAACATCAGGAATCCTAAAACAATGTCCTTCTTACTTTATTCCTATATTTGCTCAGTTCCCACAATAGGTAACCACTATTAGTTTCTTAGTAATTTTTTTCATTAAACTTTTGTGCAAATGAAAGCCAGTGCACACAATTATTTTTTTCCTTTCCCTATTTCACACCAGGGGCAAAAAATATTTTTCTGCATCTTGCTCTTCACTTAACAGTATACCTTGGTGATCTTTTTGTGTTAACCCCAAAAGAGATTTTTCATGTGTTTTATAGTGGCAGTTTTCATTACTATATCTGTATTAATGACCATCCTATAGTTTACCCTTATGTTATTGACATTCTTATCTTTGGCTAATGCCAACATTGAAGTCAATAATCCTGTCCATCCTGCACATCACAGTCATTTTGCATGTGCCTAAGTATAGGATGAATTCCTAGAGTAAATTCCTGGGTCAAAGGTTATATCCAGCCGAACCGGTTTGGCTCAGTGGATAGAGCGTCAGCCTGCGGACTCAAGGGTCCTGGGTTCGATTCCGGTCAAGGGCATGTACCTTGGTTGCGGGCACATCCCCAGTGGGGAGTGTGCAGGGGGCAGCTGATCGATGTTTCTCTCTCATCGATGTTTCTGGCTCTCTATCCCTCTCCTTTCTTCTCTGTAAAAATCAATAAAATATATATATTTTTTAAAAAAGGTTATATCCACTTGAGTTCTGAAAATGATTGACAATTTGTTCTCTATACAGGTTGTGCCAATTAGAACTCCCAATAGAAATATATGAAAATACATGTTCCCTTAAAGCAGCAACATCACACCATTCCAAAGTCCTTTGTATTTTTGCTAGTCTGATAAGTGAGAAATAATAGCTAAGTATAGCTTTAATGTACATTGCTTTTATTATAAATGAAGTTGAGCATCTTTTCTTGTTTTATGAGTTGTTTATAAATTTTTAATTTTTCATATTCTTTTTAATTTTTTTTATTGGAGTTTAGTTTTTCTTGTCTGTGTCTAGGACATTTTATAATGTGGGAAGGTTAGCCTCCTGCTTTCCTATGACTTGCGTATATTTTCTTGATTTGTCATTTATCTTTTGCTATTTTGATTATTTAATAAGTTAAATTTGACTTTGGGTATAGTAGTTCTTTTTTTTGTCTTGCTGTAGGTCTTTGTTTTGTGTTTTTACTGCAGTCACATTTAACAATCTTTACTTGTGGCTTTTCAAGTTTGTGTTTCAATTAGAAAGGTCTTCTTCATTCCAAGGTTATAAAGAAAATTCCCCTCTATTTTATCCACTATTTGGTGATTATTTTACTTTACATTTCAAGATTTGGTCCTTTGGGGATTTATCCTAGTTTACAATATGAGATATGGATCTAACTACAATCTCTCTCATTATTCACAGATTCTGTATTTGCAATTCACCCACTTGCTAAAATTTATTTGTAACCCCAAATCAATACTTGCAGAGTCTTTGCTGTCACTTGCAGACATACAGGAGTGATGAAAATTTGAGTTACCTGACACATGCCTGTTCCCAGCTGGGGTTGTTCTGCTTTCTTGCTTCAGCTCTACTACGATAAACAAGTGTCCTTTTCAAGGCCTATTTAATACCACATTTTTTTTGCATTTCCATGCAGTTTGTTGGTGATTTTGCTGTTTAAAATGATCCCCAAATATGGTGCTAAAATGCTGTCTAATGTTCTCCAGAACAAGAAAGCTATGATGTGCTTTTGGAGGAAATATGTTAGATAAGCTTTGTTCAGGTGTGGGTTACAGTGCTGTTGGCCATGAGTGAGTGTTACTGAGTCACCATGTATATTAAGATGTCTTTACACAGAAACACACGTAAAACAAGGAATGTGTTGGTCAGTTGTTGATAATGTGACCAGAGACGTACAGAAACCTAACCCTGTATTTCTCCTTAGTAAAAATGGTTCAGTCTTCACTAGTCAGTGTTTGCAGCATCTTTATAGAATACAACTCCTGCTAATGAGAATCGACTATGGTTTTTCAAGATGCTATTAACTGCCCAACACTGTCTCTGAATAGCTCACCTTTTCTCACTGAGATGTCACCTTTATCATACACTAAAGGCTCATTTCTTATTTTGTTTTTATTGGTCAGTCTGTGAATCCATGTACCGAGACCACATGAAACTTTATTTTAAAATAGTTATAAAATCTGCTAAAGCATACTTTCCCCCTCATTTCTCTTTTTGAAAGAGTTTTCCAAGATATGTTTGTTTTTGTCCTTCTGTTCCTCCTTTGGCCTGTGGACCTTCCTATGCTTCTGTTTTAGCCAATGTTCTTTAGTTGAAGTAACAGAATCTCACTTGTATATTAGCTTTGAAATTAAGGAGGCGACATAAAGAAGATTACATGGAGGTGGGAAAGAGATAGGATTGCAGGATACTGAACAAGATTGTGTGCCCTCTTGATGGTGGTTGTGGCTTACTTTATTTTAATTTTTTTAAATATATTTTTATTGACTTTGGAAAGGAAGGAGAGGGGGGAAGAGAGATAGGAACATCAATGATGAGAAAAAATCATGGATCGGCTGCCTCCTGCATACCCCCTACTGGGGATGGAGCCAGCAACCCAGGCATGTGCCCTGACTGAGAATCTTACTATGACTTCCTGCTTCATAGGTCGAAGTTCAACCATTGAGCCACACCAGCTGGGTGGTTGTGGCTTATTTTTAAAGTGTGTTAACCTAGAGGCACCGAAACAATGGAGAGGGCTTGCTTAAGGCAAAGATAAACTTTTACTAAGAAGTTACATATCGCCCTGACCAGTTTGGCTCAGTGGATAGGATGTCGGCCTTCGGACTCAGGGGTCCCGGGATTGATTCAAGCCAGGGGCATGTACCTTGGTTGTGGGCACTTCCCCACTGGGGGGGTGTGCAGGAGGCAGCTGATAGAAGTTTCTCTCTCATCGATGTTTCTAACTCTCTATCCCTCTCCCCTCCACTCTGTAAAAAATCAATAAAAATATATATATTAAAAGTTACATATCTAGAGAGTGACTACCTACTCTGATGTGCCCACTTAGAAATTTATGATCAGATCACCCTGTGAGGTTGCTTTCCATGTAATCCTCTATTTCATCCACGCAGAATATATAGGTGTTGCAAAATCCAAGGATATGACCAGTCCTGAGCATAGATGCCCTTAGGAGCCTGGGTCAGGGTCCTTCAGAGACAGTCTGGTCCCATGTGGTCTCTCTCTCTGTTTCTGTTCACCTGGTCGGTTCATTACTCTCTTTTTCTCTCTACAGAAATGGTTTCAAGCCTCTCGATCAACAGGACAAAAGATGGCTACCCCATTGCTGCCAAATTACATCTCTTCAATTCAAGTGACCAACCAGGTCAAGAGACAACAGCATCTAAACTCCTGGGAGGATCTGATTTGTTGAGTTTGGGTCCATTCAGTGGGGGTCAGGGAGCAGGGCATATGTTCAGATAATGCTACTTTTGCAGCCAACAGAATGCAGGCGTCTCTGGAAGGCAGTTATGGGCTGGGCAGATGACTTCGTCACTATAGCTCATTATTGTCATTTCCATGCCATCCTATTCCCTTTATTCTTTTCATTCTGGTTCTAAAGTCTTCTAAGGTTTTGATGCCCTGTGGTACCAACAAAGCCAGGATGCCGTTTCCCTCCCTAGAAACAACTGTTCCTTAAACAATTATTTCTCTCTGAGTAGTCCCTGCCTTGTAAGCTTTTTAGCCTGGCTTGCTGGCCTTGGGAGGAACTGCTAGTTTTGCCTTCAAGGAGCGTTAGTTAGATAGGGCCTCACTAACAAAACCAGTGACCTGGTTCATCTCTCAGCCTTTGGGGATGACTATCTTTTTGCAAACACTTGGGGACAAGATAAAACAAAGAGAGACGATTCAACTCCATTGCTCCCAGTGTCTCCATTCCCTCCATATCCTAGCCTAATGGTGGTAGGATACAATAGTCTTAACCACCCGAGTTACCACTGTGGATGAATAAGTGGTGCTGTAATAAATCATAAATTCCTAACGGGCAGGTCATGGTGAATAGTCACTCCCCAGGCATATAACTTTTTAGTAAAAGGCTTATCCTTGCCTTAAGCAAGCCCTGTCTATTGTTTCTGTGCATCTAGGCCAGTGGTTCTCAACCTTCCTAATGCCGTGACCCTTTAATACAGTTCCTCATGTTGTGGTGACTCCCAATTTCATTGTTACAAATTGAACATAATTAAAGAGAGTGATTAATCACAAAACAATGTGTAATTATATATGTGTTTTTTGATGGTCTTAGGCGACCCCTGTGAAAGGGTCGTTTGATCCCCAAAGGGGTCTCGACCCACAGGTTGAGAACCGCTGATCTAGGTGATCACAGCTCTGAAATGCCTTTTTTCAGAGCCCTCCTTCTAAAACATAACCGCCCTCAAGGAGCAAATAGTCTTAAGTATCCTGTAGTCCAATCCCACTTTGCTTTCTCCCACCTTCACGTAATCTTCTGTAAATTCTCTCCTTAATTCCAAATGCATAAAGGAACTGCAAAATGTTTATCACCAGAGCATTTGAGGTCCTGCTCCCTGGCATATGCCGTCAGCTTGGCTCAAACTTATGAAAACTCTACAGGTTTGGATGTTTCTTACGTCAACATTGCAGAGGACTCTTCCCAAGTGCTCACCATTCCCTGGTACCAATGCCACCGAGCGGGACAGGAAGTCAGAGCACAGGGCTCCCTCTTCACGTGGGGAGCATCTCTCAGTATTACTGGCACAAGAGATATTTGGGGTACACACAGACATCTGTGCTCTGACAGCTTGAAGCTGAAGCTTTTTTTTAGTGTGGTGACAAGAAATTTGTATGAGCTTCTCTTTAGGGAAAAACATGACGATCACGGTTTCTAATTTTAAACAGAAAATCCATTTTCCACCATCATCCTTGATCAGAAGTAGCCTTTTCGAAAAACTGGAGGGAATGCGGGATTCTAGTGAATTCACCTGATCTCTAGAGAGTACATTTTAAACAACACAAGGAAGTACTTGAGGAAAATGAAAATGCATTGGGTTGGAGTTCTCTTTCCTGGGGAAGACCAGAAAAAGCTGCAGGTGGGAGTGATGAGAGGAGGAGGGGGTTGGGAAAATCCCTCGGAAGTCATTTTCTTGAGTATCAGAGAAGAGGAAGGAGCATGAAGATAGGTGAAGAAGTGGGACTCCTTGATGAGATTCTTGTAATGAACTCCCATCCCTACGGTGCTGCAAGTGGTCCGTCGAATCCAAGGCCTGGGCAGCTGTAGGGAA